GATTTTAATGTGTACCTACATGCCAGCACAGTGTGTAAGTTTATTTAGGTACAGGTGTACACAAGTTTAATTATCAAGTACAATACATATAAAATATACAATAACTTTAAAACACTTGAAATTTTGGAAAGTTTCCAGACATAATAAGGAGATATGCTCAGGGAGAATGTAAACAAACTCGGTGGGCCGCTGTGACCGTATTAGAAAGACAGGTGGGGGGAGCCGTATAGCGAGTTTTGGTCATAATTTGAAATGTCCGTATTAGCGGAACGCCGTAAAGCGGGGCCCTGCTGTACTCATAAATTCTAGCGGCTTCAAATCGAGCAGGAGGAAGCTGGTAGGCCCACATGTGAGACAATTAGCCTGTGTGGTCAGTGTGCACCATATAAAAAGTCCTGCAGCACGCAGTGCATAATGAGAAAAAAAAACTACTTTTTTTTTTTAATTAAAATGCCGACTTTGTGGTCTATTTTTATATAGTATTTATGGTTGTATTCTTGTTTTCTTGGTCTCATTTGATAGAATGGAAAACATATTATAGAAATAGAGGTGATTTTGATTGGTTTTACTATGAAAAGAACCTTGAAATGGAGCTCAATGCAGGGGAAATGTTTGATTTTTGCTCATGTTCAAAAGTAAACAAATGATGTCATTTTCCAATAAATGTCCAAGTAGTCATTCTAATATGCAATCATGAATGGGTTGACATTATTTATACAATTATTACAATATTGCAGTAGCCTGCATGACAGTAAATCTTCCATTTTTTGTTTGAATAAAAATTCAAAATAGAAAGCAAGAGTAATATCAGAGAGGCCTGGATGTGACTCACAACAGTCAGCTAAACCTTGGAACCTATTTACTGCTAGGTCAACCCAAGGTTTGAACTCAGGATTCTTTGCTGTGGGCCAAAAATGCTGCCACTGAGCCTGTAGTGTACTAACAGGTTTCTGTTCTTATGGGAACCTCAACACAGAATTGATGTCCACTATGCCCCTTATATAGCTGTTCTTTAAGTATTGCCTTGGTGTTCATACTGTATTGAATACAGTATTCTTAATTTTGTTCATTGTTCTCTGGAAGATCTCTGTTATAGTTAATTGTTTCCACAGGTATATCCAAAGCTGCTTTTTTAATTGTCAGAATGAAAAATTACTGTTAGCAGTTTTGAAATTGCTACCATACCATCATTATTCTTATAAGGAATGGGTGTATTAAATGCTATACAGTAGTTTAGCATTGAAATGTAACCGTATTGTGTGGACCCCTATTAGTCTCCCATTCTCTCTCCCTTTCCTTCCTGAGTACCTCATGTTCTTTCCTCAATTTATCTATTAAGAGATTATCTGTAGCATAAATGGTAACTATAGTATTGAGAGTAAGGGCTTTCCTTCCCTCCCTCTCCTTCTCTCCTTCATTCCCCCCCCTTCCCCATCCTCTCCTTGTCCCCTTACCTGTCCTTCCCCCCCGACGCTGGGTCACCTTACCGTGGTGGCGGGGTTTGAGCGGCCTGAGTGCCTGACTAAGAACCCAGCAACCCAGTTTTGGGCCTAAATTGTGGGGGGATTTTTTCCTTTTGTCAAAATTTGTAAATGTTTGGTTTGTCTTTGAATATATTTTTAGATATACAGCAGTCTGGACTGCAACTAATGGACTTAAATTGCTTTAATTATATTATGATCTTTAATATGACAGTAAATTGATGGTAGAAAATTGATCATAATAGCAGCAAATTGGCGAGATGGTAAAAAATGGTAACCATGGCAATAAAATATAGCAGTATTTACTTGAAGTAATGAACAACCAAACAGTTCTAGTAATTTGTAAATGGTATAACTTGCTTACCCATTTCCCTCCTTCTCTCTTTTCCCAATCCTCTCCTTTCTCCACCTTCTGCCCTTTACCTTTTCGGGTTAGGTTTCGGACTGCCACCATAAAGTGAATCAGCTTTTTTCACTTACTAGTGCATATAAAATCCTAAAAACATGTTTACACTATTATTTATTAAGTACACAATAGCAGTAGGCCTACAAAAATGATGCAAAAGTAAAAATAATAAAAATGAAAATTGCCAAAAACCATATTAATTAAGAGGAAGGCAAGTGCCAAAAATAATAAACATGAATATAATTGAAGAGTGCCCTATTAGCGAATCACTCTAGAGCAATCATTGTATTAATGAGGTATGCCTGTACTGCTTTGTACTACACAATTATTCAAACTGATAATGACAGTAAACAGAATTCATTATGAGGATAGTGAGATGCTTAATTCTGTAAAGCACTGCTTTCATACTAATTTTCTCATCTTCATCACAGTCAGCCCCAAATGACAGCTTTGGCCCATTAGAAGGCAAAGGTCAGTGGTTCAAACCTAGGGCAGGTTGAGAAAATGGGCACATTTCCTTATATCTGTTACCCCTTTTCACATGGCAGTAAATAGGTACCTAGATGTTAATCCATTGTTGTGGCTCACATCCTTGTGGGATGGTGGTATACCTAAGATATGGCTAGATTTTGAAGAGAGTCAGCTCCAGCTTGTAAATTAAACAGTGTAAAAAAAGTGTTTTTGGGCATGAAGTTGAGGGTTGACAAATCGAACCTTTATCAATTCTGAAAGAATGAAGAATTCAGGATGAGTACAGGGTACAGAATGATCAGACCCTATAAAAATGACTAGAACAGGTAAAATATTTTTCAGTAATAATGTCCAACATTGCACTGGGCAAGCCCCTCAAGGGAGGTTGCTTGATGCAGATGAGGGACTCTTGATCAAAGGAATTGGACCTGTACTCCAATTTATTGAATTAAGTCTGAATGCCTTCCATTCCCTCAAGCAGTGTATGATCCTTCAGGTTTGACTCCCCCATGAAAATGTTAATGCGGGTTTTACCTGGAGAGTGTTTCGGGAGTCAGCGTCCCTGTGGCTCTGTCTGAGACCAGGCCTCATGGTGGATCAGGGTCTGATCAACCAGGCTGTTACTGCTGGCTGCACGCAAACTGACGTACGAACCACAGCCCGGTTAGTCAGGTACTGACTTTAGGTGTCTGTCCAGTGCCTTCTTGAAGACAGCCAGGGGTCTATTGGTAATCCCCCTTATGTATGCTGGAAGGCAGTTGAACAGTCTTGGGCCCTGGACACTTTTTGTGTTGTTTCTCAATGTACTTGTGGTGCCCATGCTTTTCATCGGGGGACTGTTGCATCTCCTGCTGAGTTTTTTTGCTTTCATAGGGAGTGACTTTTGTGTGCAGGTTTGGTACCAATCCCTCCAGGACCTTCCAAGTGTATATTATCATGTATCTCTCTCGCCTGCATTCCAGGGAATACAGATTGAGGACCTTCAACCATTCCCATTAATTTAGGTGCCTTATCGTACTTGTGTGTGCTGTGAAAGTTCTTTGTACGCCCTCCAGGTCTACAATGTTACCAGCCTTGAAAGGGGCCATTTGTGTACAGCAGTATTCCAGCCTAGAGAGAGCAAGCGATATGAAAACATTCTTAACAATAGACAGTGAAACAGCAGGATAGTAGACAGCAGCCATACAGGGAGGTATTACAACCTTATCATAATGGAAATGGAAGCCTATTAAATGTTTTGCAATCTATTAGGATTAATCTTTTCTTTGTTTTGTGGCTACTATGTCATTCAATATACGCTCAGCTTTACTTATCTGTTTCTAAATACAGTAGTTCTTATTCATGGAATATTTCCTGACCAATTAAAGGCTTGGTGTAAGACTAGGTCATGTTGGAAAGAGGAAAGAGAATCAGCAGATCTGTTGAAGAAACCTCAGACATTGAAATGTACTGCCCCTTCCATATTTTTTGCTTTATTTAGGTCTTCAATTCCCATTGTTTAGTCCTCATTACACTACCAACATTATATTTAAAACAATGTTATGATTCCAGACTACAGTGACAAGCTTGAAAATGATACATAAAGACAGACCAACAGTCTAACACTATCCAAAAGCAGTGAAATTTGGAGCTTTCAATTACTGCAAGTTTTCAGTAAAGTAAAAATGTTGGCATCGGGACCAGTCAGCAGCTCTGAAACTGCACAGCATCTGGGCTCTGAAACCAACCATTAATATATTGTACTGTATCTTTAGAGTGCTTTGGAGAAGGCACATGTAGGTAAACTAGTACAAAAATGATACACAACTGTACTTAAAGTTGCCGTAATTTTTGGACATCCTTTCCCAGTTGTAACTTTCAACTATCATTTTTTCTTTCTCTCAGCAGAACTTGTTACCACGTATCATAACGTAAACCAATTTTTTGTGTCATTCCTTAATTTCATACCCATCTTTAATACTCTAGCCTTAACATCCATACATTGAACAATATTATTATTCTCCTGTACAGTATTATCAAACCCGACATGCTGTTGGAGTGTGAGCAGGGTAATATTTTGTGAAGGGATTTAGGGAAGCCGGTTAGTTGGACTTGAGTCCTGGTGGTGGGAAATACAGTGCCTGCACTTTAAAACAGGGGTTTGAGATATTGGCTGCTTGTGGTGGCATGTAAACTGTCATATCTGGGCTCCTTTGCAAAGACAGTAATTATGTGTGAATGATGAAAGTGTTTTTCTTGTTTGGATCACCCTGCCTCAGTGGGAGACGGCCAACATGTTTAAAAAAAAAAAATTATCAAACCAGTAACGAATAGCATCAATTCTTATACTCTTTCTTCATATATACTCACAATGTTGAATGGCCCTGTCATTGGAAACAAAAAAGAAAACATTTTCATGCTCCAAAGGGGTACCTTGATGTTTGTGAAAGGATCTTGATCAGATTGGACCTGATCACCTCCAGTTCCCAGGCACAGCACAACTTGCTACAAGTTTGGTGCTGCGTAAATATAATAAATGCCATGTATGTTCACCATGTCTCACAGTCTTGAATAAATGCTAATTTAATCATGTGCTTTCTCTAGGTTCATAGCACCTCTATTTTAACCTCTGTTTTCCTGTTATTGATTTAAGAATCTTGCAGCTCCTACAGATTCTGGCAGTGAGACGGTCACAGTTAGCAACGACAGGGAAGACGGATATCCCAATCCCTCAGACACCACCGCCACATCCAGGGTATGCGCCGAATGCAGCATTTCATGCCATCAAGAGACATGCTCTTGAAGTCATAAATCAGAGAGATGCGGTGGTAAGTAGCCTTTCACTTAAATGTTGTATGCATGTTTCCTGACAGTGATACATTTAAATTTTGAGCTTTTTTAATGTTACCTTGTCTTGTTACCAGACTTAACATTACCAGTTTTATTTCACTATTATGCCTTGTCACTGTCTTATTGTCACTGGTCTTACCAGTCTTAATTGCCCTGCGATCAGAAATGGGTTTCATTTTAATTGGTGATATAGTTTATATTTATTTTTTATTTATTTTTTTTTTAACAAGTCGGCAGTCTCCCTGTCAGAATAGCAAAATTAGCTTAAAAATTCATAATATAAATGTTTACTAGATTATATACTCATTACTATTTTTATTTCTTTACAGGAAAAGGAAGGGCCTGTTACAAAAAGTATTCGCTTAACTGCCGCTTTGATCCTTAGAAACCTAGTCATATATTCTAATACAGGGAAAAAGTAAGTATGCTGAATATATTTCCTACTGCTTTCAGTTTCACTACTACTGTTTGAGTGACAATCATTGAAAACAACAGTTAAATAAGTTAACACAATAGAAAATAGAATTACCTCACTTTGCCTATTGTAAATAACTCTTGCACACACACTGGGGATATCGGAGGTATGAAGCTCAAGTTATCTTTGCGAGCCTAACTTAAAGATCCAAAAGACAATATCTACAAATTCCAGTAAACAAAACATTAAGGAATAGATTCAGTCACTAACCTGGATTTTGGCCATGGTGGCACTTATTCATTTTTTGCTGCCAAATGCCTCGTGTAAGCTGCACCCTAATTCTTTTGTCGCAATTCAGGATTGTGTAAAATTGTTACTGTTTCCATATCCAAATTTTATTTATTTTTTTTTTTATTATCACACCGGCCGATTCCCACCAAGGCAGGGTGGCCCGAAAAAGAAAAACTTTCACCATCATTCACTCCATCACTGTCTTGCAGAAGGGTGGGTTTACACTACAGTTTTTAAACTGCAACATTAACACCCCTCTTCAGAGTGCAGGCACTGTACTTTCCCATCTCCAGGACTCAAGTCCGGCCTGCCGGTTTCCTGAAATCCCTTCATAAATGTTACTTTGCTCACACTCAACAGCACGTCAAGTATTAAAAACCATTTGTCTCCATTCACTCCTTATCAAACACGCTCACGCATGCCTGCTGGAAGTCCAAGCCCTTCGCACACAAAACCTCCTTTACCCCCTCCCTCCAACCCTTCCTAGGCCGACCCCTACCCCGCCTTCCTTCCACTACAGACTGATACACTCTTGGGAAATCATTCTGTTTCGCTCCATTCCTCTACATGTCCGAACCACCTCAACAACCCCTTTCCCCAGCCCTCTGGACAACAGTTTTGGTAATCCCGCACCTCCTCCTAACTTCCAAACTACGAATTCTCTGCATTATATTCACACCACACATTGCCCTCAGACATGACATCTCCACTGCCTCAGCTTCTCCTCGCTGCAACATTCATCACCCACGCTTCACACCCATATAAGAGCGTTGGTTTAAAACTATACTCTCATACATTCCCCTCTTTGCCTCCAAGGACAAAGTTCTTTGTCTCCACAGACTCCTAAGTGCACCACTCACTCTTTTCCCTCATCAATTCTATGATTCACCTCATCTTTCATAGACCCATCCGCTGACACGTCCACTCCCAAATATCTGAATACGTTCACCTCCTCCATACTCTCTCCCTCCAATCTGATATTCAATCTTTCATCACCTAATCTTTTTGTTATCCTCATAACCTTACTCTTTCCTGTATTCACCTTTAATTTTCTTCTTTTGCACACCCTACCAAATTCATCCACCAATCTCTGCAACTTCTCTTCAGAATCTCCCAAGAGCACAGTGTCATCGGCAAAGAGCAGCTGTGACAACTCCCACTTTGTGTGTGATTCTTTATCTTTTAACTCCACGCCTCTTGCCAAGACCCTCGCATTTACTTCTCTTACAACCCCATCTATAAATATATTAAACAACCAGGGTGACATCACACATCCTTGTCTAAGGCCTACTTTTACTGGGAAAAAATTTCCCTCTTTCCTACATACTCTAACTTGAGCCTCACTATCCTCGTAAAAACTCTTCACTGCTTTCAGTAACCTACCTCCTACACCATACACTTGCAACATCTGCCACATTGCCCCCTATCCACCCTGTTCATACGCCTTTTCCAAATCCATAAATGCCACAAAGACCTCTTTAGCCTTATCTAAATACTGTTCACTTATATGTTTCACTGTAAACACCTGGTCCACACACCCCCTACCTTTCCTAAAGCCTCCTTGTTCATCTGCTATCCTATTCTCCGTCTTACTCTTAATTCTTTCAATTATAACTCTACCATACACTTTACCAGGTACACTCAACAGACTTATCCCCCTATAATTTTTTCACTCTCTTTTATCCCCTTTGCCTTTATAAAAGGAAACTATGCATGCTCTCTGCCAATCCTAGGTACCTTACCCTCTTCCATACATTTATTAAATAATTGCACCAACCACTCCAAAACTATATCCCCACCTGCTTTTAACATTCTATCTTTATCCCATCAATCCCGGCTGCCTTACCCCCTTTCATTTTTCCTACTGCCTCACGAACTTCCCCCACACTCACAACTGGCTCTTCCTCACTCCTACAAGATGTTATTCCTCCTTGCCCTATACACGAAATCACAGCTTCCCTATCTTCATCAACATTTAACAATTCCTCAAAATATTCCTTCCATCTTCCCAATACCTCACCTCTCCATTTAATAACTCTCCTCTCCTATTTTTAACTGACAAATCCATTTGTTCTCTAGGCTTTCTTAACTTGTTAATCTCACTCCAAAACTTTTTCTTATTTTCAACAAAATTTGTTGATAACATCTCACCCACTCTCTCATTTGCTCTCTTTTTACATTGCTTCACCACTCTCTTAACTTCTCTCTTTTTCTCCATATACTCTTCCCTCCTTGCATCACTTCTACTTTGTAAAAACTTCTCATATGCTAACTTTTTCTCCCTTACTACTCTCTTTACATCATCATTCCACCAATCGCTCCTCTTCCCTCCTGCACCCACTTTCCTGTAACCACAAACTTCTGCTGAACACTCTAACACTACATTTTTAAACCTACCCCATACCTCTTCGACCCCCTTGCCTATGCTCTCATTAGCCATCTATCCTCCAATAGCTGTTTATATCTTACCCTAACTGCCTCCTCTTTTAGTTTATAAACCTTCACCTCTCTCTTCCCTGATGCTTCTATTCTCCTTGTATCCCATCTACCTTTTACTCTCAGTGTAGCTACAACTAGAAAGTGATCTGATATATCTGTGGCCCCTCTATAAACATGTACATCCTGAAGTCTACTCAACAGTCTTTTATCTACCAATACATAATCCAACAAACTACTGTCATTTCGCCCTACATCATATCGTGTATACTTATTTATCCTCTTTTTCTTAAAATATGTATTACCTATAAATAAACCCCTTTCTATACAAAGTTCAATCAAAGGGCTCCCATTATCATTTACACCTGGCACCCCAAACTTACCTACCACACCCTCTCTAAAAGTTTCTCCTACTTTAGCATTCAAGTCCCCTACCACAATTACTCTCTCACTTGGTTCAAAGGCTCCTATACATTCACTTAACATCTCCCAAAATCTCTCTCTCTCCTCTGCATTCCTCTCTTCTCCCGGTGCATACACGCTTATTATGACCCACTTCTCGCATCCAACCTTTACTTTAATCCACATAATTCTTGAATTTACACATTCATATTCTCATTTTCTCCTTCCATAACTGATCATTTAACATTACTGCTACCCCTTCCTTTGCTCTAACTCTTCAGATACTCCAGATTTAATCCATTTTTTTCCCCCCCACTGAAACTCCCCTACCCCTTCAGTTTTGTTTCGCTTAGGGCCAGGACATTCCAACTTCTTTTCTTTTCATAACATCAGCAATCATCTGTTTCTTGTCATCCGCACTACATCCACGCACATTTAAGCAACCCAGTTTTATAAATTTTTTTCTTCTTCTTTTTTTTAGTAATTGTATACAGGAAAAAGGGGTTACAGCCCATTGCCCCCGGCTTTTAGTCGCCTCATACGACACCCCATGGCTTACGGGGAAAAGATTTTTTTCCCACTTCCCCATGGACAATAGAAGAAATAAAAAAGAACAAGAGCTATTTAGAAAAAGGAGAAAAACCTAGATGTATGTATATATATATATGCATGTGCGTGTCTGTGAAGTGTGACCAAAGTGTAAGTAGGAGTAGCAAGATATCCCTGTTATCTTAGCGTGTTTATGAGACAGAAAAAGAAACCAGCAATCCTACCATCATGCAAAACAGTTACAGGTTTTTGTTTCACAGTCATCTGGCAGGACGGTAGTACTTCCCTGGGTGGTTGCTGTCTACCAACCTACTACCAAATTATACATACTAAAACCATCAAAGTATTTTTCCATACAAGTAAATCAAAATGTAAATAATGGTTAAATATACTGTACGGTACTTCTGTGTACCTGATGTTCACATTTTTCGTATCCTGTAGATGGCCAGTACAGTGGACCCCCGCATAACGATGGCATCGCATAGCGATTTTTCCGCATAACGATTACTTTTATCGCAAAATTTTTGCCGCGCATACCGATTAAAAACCCGCATACCGATTTTCGTCCGAGACGCGTCCAATGTGCCCTCAGCCAGCCTCACATGTGCCGCTCCGTCCCATTGTTTACCAGCCAGCCTCCGCGGTAACATCCAAGCATACACTCGGAATATTTCGTATTATTACAGTATTTTCGGTGCTGTTTCTGGAAAAATAAGTGACCATGGGCCCCAAGAAAGCTTCTAGTGCCACCCTGTGGTAAAAAGGGTGAGAATTAGTATGGAAATTAAGAAAGATTTTGAAGGGTTTGGGGCAAACCCCTGAGAAGCCTATGCCAGTTGTGGAATCCATTGTGCCTCCCTTCAAGATTAAGGAAATGTGTGCAGAGTGGGTTGAACTGCAAACCTTTATAGATGAAAATCACCCTGACACAGCTGTTGCAAGCCGTGCTTGTGACTATTTCAATGACAATGTTATGGCCCATTTTAGGAAAGTCTTGAAGGAACGGGAGGTACAGAGCTCTATGGACAGATTTGTTGTGCGACAGAGGTCCAGTGACTCTCAAGCTGGTCCTAGTGGCATTAAAAGAAGAAGGGAAGTAACCCCAGAAAAGGACTTGCTACCTCAAGTCCTAATGGAAGGGGATTCCCCTTCTAAACAGTAAGAAGATAATGCTCTCCCCTCCTCCCATCCCATCAATCATCACCAGATCTTCAATAAAAGTAAGTGTCATGTAATTGTGCATGCCTTTTTCAGTTTGTGTGTATTAAAATTAACATTTCATGTGGTAAAAAAAAATTTTTTTCATACTTTTGGGCGTCTTGCAC